AAGTTTGAATTACCCTGTTAATTAGTGCAGTTAAAAATTGTAACTCAAATAGCAACACAAATTGTAACTCAAATAGAAGTCATATTTTAATTATTCTACCATTTTCTAATGTTTCCTAAGTATCCTAGTAAGTTCATATTTCAAAAATAACTTGTTATCTATATATCAACGTTTTCGAACGGTTGTTGATCCGGATGGTTGGACCGTTTGGCCCGAAACCGTCCAGGCAATTAATTCCGTTTTACCCAAAACCCGGAATCTGATAAAAAACCGTTGAAAAAGTCAACAAGGTGTTGATCCGGGTGGTCAAACTGTTGACCTGTCAATCCGTTCAACGGTTTTGATCATTTTTTTATTTTTTAATTTTACTATCTGAACAGACCGTCCGTTTAAACCAGACGATCGGACCGTTGACCCGAAAACTGGTAACTAGAACGGTTCCACTTTCGAGTCGTTTTTTAAAACGTTGGTATATATTCACTTGATATTCGGATTCATTGTTATTGATGCACTTTTTGAAATTAAATTTTGTCATAAGTTATTTTATTTTATGGTAAAGGATAATTAATTTTTGTTAAACAGAGGAGGAGAAGCATTACAAAAGTAACTGATTTTTGTCCATCCACGGAGCTAGTTAGACGGGCATGGCCTGTGTGTATACCTTTGATTCCCCAAGACCGTTACATGCCGGCTGATGAGCTAATCCATTACATTCCCTTTTAACAAAAGAAAAACAGGAAATAGCTCCTTCACATAAAGCCAGTAAATCTTTACAGAAAAAGAAGACTTCTTTAACAGACTTTAGAGTCTGAATAAGAGTCAAATTATCACTTTTAAGATAAAAGGACCAGAAAAATGCTGCTTTGCCAGAAGCTCCCCCTCTAAACAGGCAACTTTTTTCCTATTTCAAAGGAAAATAACTTGCACAAGGGCCAAAAGACATTGCAAAGACCTAACCAGAGTGACTTCTGATGACAGTTCCAAAAGTAGCCACTCCTTCCCTTACGAAACTGAAACTACCATCAACGTGGATCTTCAAAAAGTTTTCTGGTGGGCTTGCCATAAAAGAATTTCCTGGTAAATTGTAGAATAGTACCTGTACTTCGGGAACAGTCTCATTTTAATACCTAAACTTCAAAGCGTTTGGTTGTATAGTACCTAAAACTCCCGAAAACTATCAATTTAGTCGAAAATTGATAACTGGTATTAGATGGCACGTGAAATGGTGAAAGGACACAAATATCCTTTGGGCTTTAAATAGGTGAGAAAAAGCATAAATTTTAAATGACGAAAATAAACTTGGCTTAAACTTTTTGCATTGTAAACGACACCAGTGCAACTACATGGAAAAAAACATCGTCAGAAAAAGAGTTGTAGAGAACGTTGGAGAGAGAGAGAGAGCTTGTAAGCTGAAATCAATGTTTTAAAAAATGATCAGGAAACGGAATCGTTTTGATCACTAGTTTTTAGGTAAACGGTCTGATTGTTCGGTTCGAACGGATAGTTCGTTCTGACAGAAAATTTTTAAAAAATTGAAAAGTAATTAAAAATAAAAAAACGGTTAAAAATAATTGAACGGATCGACGGTTCAACCGCCTGGGTTAATGTTTTATTGACTTTTCAACGGTTTTTGATCAGATTCCGGGTTTATACAAAAATGGAACCAATTACTGAAACGGTTGCCGGGCCGAACGGTCCAACCATCTGGGTCAACTACGGTTCGAAAATACTAGCTGAAATCCCCAAGATGAATGGGTTTTACGGGTCTAGTAGAGATTTCATGGAAACCCATGTGAGGAATTCTAGAGCTGAAATTCTCAAGATGAATGGATTTTTTGAATCTAGTAGAGATTTCATGCAAACCCATGTGAGGAATTGCAGAGCTGAAATACTCAAGATGAATGGATCTTTCTTTTTCTTTTCGGCCTTAACTTTCCTTTTTTTTTTTGTTGTTTTAAATGACTAAATCTTGTTGCTTGTTGAATTGGGTTGTTTATTCGTTGAATTCTCCTTTTTTGGTATTTTAGGGGCGTTTGGGACTTATGCGTTTCACGAATGTTTTTATTCCGCTGACGTGGATTTAGAGTCACATCAGGAAAAAAAAAAACGGAATCAATAAAAAAAACTGCATTTTGATAGTTTGTTTCTCAAAAAAAAACAAAACTTTTTTGCAATAATTAGTTTGGGGATCCAGGAAAGGAGGGGGTTTCTTAAATTTCTTGGGTAATGACTTGTGTATCTACAATATCTCATCAGATACTGGTGAATGACTTTCCTTCAAAAAGAATATTTTTCCAAAGAGGTCTTAGACAAGAGGTCTCTCTCTCCTTACCTCTTTTTATTATGCTTTGATGTTTTTTCCTCTATTCTAAAGCAAAAGGTTGCCCAAAATGAGATTTTTGGAATTAAAATATGCAATTTAGCCCCAACTATCTCTCATTTGTTCTTGGCATATGACAGTGACAATCTCCTTCTTTGAAAGAGCTCAGCCTCTGGACACTAGGTGAATTATCAAAATTCAAAAGTTTTAGCTGATAGAAAGAAAACTCAATTGTTTGAGTACTTAGCTGAGAGAATGGCAAATAGAGCTTGTGGATGGAGAGGTTCTTTGCCATCTCAAGTAGGAAAGGAGGTTCTTCTGAAATCAGTTCTTACCATTCAATTTCATCTTGTTGGCTAAGCTTGCTTGGAAAGTAGGCAATGAGATGGAAATAAAGGTATAGGGTGATCCTTGGATTCCGGGCCTAGAGGAATTTACTCCAATGGGTCAAAGACAGGAAGATTCAGAAAACATAGTTGTCTCTGACCTTATCAACCAAGAGAGTAGAACTTGGAACAGTAACGCTATAAATGATCTCCTCCCCCAGCGTTAGCTCAAAAGGTCATTGAGCTGGATATTCCTTCTACTCCTTGGAATGACAAATCATTTGGATGGGTAGTAAAAATGGGAAATTCTCCATTAGATCTGCGTATTTCATTGCTAAACAAATGAAGGAAGAGGAAGATCATCAAATTATTAATTATGAGTCAAGAAAAAGCTTTTGGACCCTTTTGTGGAAACTCCCCATTGAACAAAAAATAAAACACTTCCCTTGGAGGTGCTGTGTTAATGGAGTTGCGGTTAAAAATAAACCTGTTTAAAAGAGGCATCGGGGTTTCAGACATCTGTGACAGATGTGGTAAGGCAGCTGAAACTGTAATTCATGCTCTTCTTCTTTGTGATAAACCAAAATGTATTTGGTTAGGTTCAGGCTGTGGTATTAACCCAAATTCAGGTACTTATTTTCAGAATTATTTTGACTGGTTGATGCACATTTGTGTGAATGTGGGTTTGTTTTTGAAAAGATAAAAATGGCTTTGTTTTTGATAAGGAAGATTCAAATCCCCTATCTGTTATTGCTTCTATTCGCAGGTCAACATCGGAGAAAAATCTTCTCTTGCGGCAGAAATCGGAAAGCTGTTCCAAAGCTGAACAGCTTAGGGAGAATGCTTTTTGGGTACCACCGAGTCTTGGAAAGCTGAAAGTGAATACTGATGGTGGTTTTGTGTCAGCCAGACAGGCCTCTTTTGGTTTTATATTTTTTGTTGGGGAGCAGGCTACGGTCCTACCAAAGTTTCTTCCCCGTTAATGGCGGAGGCAAAGGCTATCAAGGAAGCCGTATTGTTTGCTGATTTTTTGAACATCTCAGAAGCTTGTTTTGAGTCAGATAATGCTTGTATTGTGAATGCTCTAAAAGTGCAAGCTGATAGCGATCATCCTGAGATTATGTTTTGGTGCAGAGGTATAAAAGAAATTGCTAGGAGAAGAAACTACAACTTCTCTTTCTGTCCGAGGAAAGCCAACAATGCAGCTCATGAAGCAGCGAAGGCTGGTTTAGTTTCGTTTTTCAAGTCAAGTGTTTGTATTCCAGAACGTCTGTCAAATATTCTGAAGTTGGATTTTTTATTTTATTTCGGGTACTGGTAATAGATAGGTGTAGTTTCTTAGGTTCTTTTGTTGCTTTCTCGTTAGTTTGTTCAGTTTTGTTGATTCTGTTCCTTGGTAGTGCCTGTCTGTTGGTGGAATGAAATAATATTTCTTTACCAAAATGGAATGGAAGCCCTCAAAATAGCTTATCAGATTCAGAGGACTGAGATGGCAATCCAAATACACGCTCCTTGTGCTCTAATAGTCTAATGTTCATAATCAAGTTCAACCATGCTTCAATGCTCAAGAAACCTAGACAGATGGCTAAAATCTTGTGGTTTCATCTGGCCATTGGCTCAGTATTACAAGTAGGGGTGTCAATGAATTAGGTTTGGGTTGGAACCTTCGGAATCAAAATCAACTTGAGCAAATTAGAGGGACGAATAAGACACGTTGAATAGGATCAGTCCAGAATTAAATGGTCCAAGCTTTTATTGGATTAGATTCGATCTGGTCCATTTGTAATGGATTAAAGTTGGACCGGATCAGATTGAATCAATATTCGGTCCATTGACATAACATAGAGTACGGATGTCAATGATCAGGTATGGATGGAGCCAATCTGAATTAAAACCAATTTAAACAGTTTGGATGGTCCAGACATTGAACTGGAGCAGTCCAGAATGGTCTAAAGTATACAACGGATTGGATTGGACCTGGCCATCTGTAATGGACTCATACTGGACCAATGTCTGGTCCATTGACAGCCCTCGTTACGAGTAGAACCGAAGGGGTATCAAAATAGATTTTAGTTGTCCAAAAGGATTTAGACCGTACCAGTGACACTGTGGATGTAAAACAGTGACAAGGAAAGAGGCGGACAAGAGTCGATACGTTACGGTGTTACACTTATTAACAAACTTTTGAAATGTTGTGTAATGGATGGTGGTGAGGTATGTCAAGTTGTCAAAAACGGAACATTGATGATCGTTTGAAATCCTGCTAAAACCCGCAAAAAAGCTAAACAATTTGAACTTTTAATTTGAGGAATAAATACGGAAATGACAAGCTGATGACTGATGTGATTTCTCACAAACCCAAAACTCTATTGACTAATGACGAATTCCCATTTGGCCGCCAAAAGCTTATTCAAATCGAACCCGCTGGAGCTTGCTTTATATAGAGAGCAGAGTATTCGCGCTTCTCTTGGGGGAGACGAGATCAGAAATGGCGAGAAGTAATAGGTTCTGTTCAGGGAGACACCCTTGCTTCTTCAAGGTTTTCCTCCCCAAGCCCAACATCAATCCCGAACGGCTGGTAATTTCGTTTTTCTTTCTTTTCCTGGTTTTTTTGTCCCCCACCCCTACCTTTTCTGTCGTGTTCTGATTCATCTCTTCAACTTCAGCAGTCTCTTTGAATGCAAATGACCCAATAGCGTTGTTGTTGCACCATTGAGGATGGGCTGACCCAGTTCTGTTCTTTTCCATTGCAGAGAATCCCATTTGGTTTTCTGAAACACATTAAAGGAGAAGGTTCAGGAACTGTTTGGTTAAGAGGTCCTAGTGGGAATATGTGGCGCGTGAACTTGACTAAGAACCCCGATGGATGGTTTTTTGAAGATGGTTGGGAAGTGTTTCTGAAAGATCACATCTCAAAACCAGGCGACTTCTTTGTTTTCAGATATATTGGTAACTTTCATTTCTCTGTGCAAATATTTGATCCAACTGCATGCGAGAAAGAAGCTTCTTTTCGTGTCAAATGCAGCCAGGAAAATAACGCTTTTGTAGAACCCCAAGGGAATAAGAGAGGGAGAGAGATTATAGCAGAGGCCTTGAAACCCTCTCCATTGAAACCCTTTGAAATTGCATTGAAGAGGAAGAGAGTTAACCCTCCTCAAGTTCACTTAGAACGTAGAACCAGAAATGGAGCACATAAAGTAAATATTGTTAGTAACAGGGGCCGTGGAGGACAAGATGCAGTTTCAACTAAAGCAGACAAAGACTCTACCTTGCCCTGTCAAATCAAGGAACGTGGTAAGTCTCCCAAGTCTGCTCTTGGTTTCGTCCCTGTTTCTCAGCCAAATGCTTGCAAATATACTCTAATGAGGTACTTGCCTTATTTTTGTTTATACTTGTCAACATTCTATCTCATACTTACGCAACTAGAAAAATATCCAAGTGGTGTTTCAGAGACAGGAATTTTTGCTTATGATCTTTTTTTTTTTTATTAGGAACCTGAAATGAGTGATAACCTTTTGTTGAGATGATGCAGACAAACACTTATCTCTAAGATCAAGCAGACATGTAAAAATTGAAATGGGGCCGGTTACCAGAGGGAGAAAGAAAATTTCTGACCTGCCTATTCATGAAACGGTTTCCGATACCGGAGGATGCTGCACAAGGAAGGCAGTTGAGTCCTCCTCGAAATTTCCTTATTTCGTGAGGTGCATAAAAGCGTCTAATGTCGGCCGATCAAGCCATCTGGTGAGTTATTTTGACACTGATTTGTTGTTTCAACTAGTTTAGTTGTTGGGGTTTTCATTTGATTGTTATAAAGGATGAACTCTGTATCTGAAGTGGTTTTCAATGAAGAACACCTTATTTTTTAATGGAGATATATGGATTTGGTTCTGGAAATATTCTTTATTCCTTAGTCCTCGTCATAACAGTATGATGAATCAAAATCCTTAGCCTTAAGATCCAAAACAACCAACTTTTGTGCTGCACAAGGAATACCGTTTTATCCCGCCTTTGGTCATTTATTTGTTAAATCTATGAATTTTGTACTCCTTCCAGACTGAGCCCCTTAGTAATTAATTCACAAAAAAAAGTAATTGATTCATTCTAGACGTTGTAGCTCTGAATATTGACTAAATGACTGAATGCTCTATTTGTTTGCCTTGATTTTGAGGTTTGATTTTTGCAAGCTTCGAGTTGCTTATTACTTCTCTTATCTTGAAATTGGAAAAATAAATTATTTAAGACATTTTGATGATGACTTGGGAAGCATACCTCCTGAGGATACCCTGTGCAAATTCCACACTGAATTTTATTTAGGTTAGAGTACAAAATTTAGGTTCATGAAGTAATACACAAGTCACAAGGACATATTGGAGGATATACAGAGGTCAGAGGATAACAGTGACAAAACCCTTTTTATGTTTGTGCTACATTTTCCCTTGGTTTGTAGGAATACTTATGTTGTATGTAATATCGATACTGGTAAGAGATCAAATCTGGAGCATGCTTGTAGCACTAATTTTTTTTCATGTAATTCTTCTAATTATAGTAATTATTGGTATTATGGTTGTTATTTTGGTAACTGGATATCAGTCATGCAGTCAATCCCTGGAGACTTTGCCAAGACACATCTTCCCAGACGAAGAACAAATGCCATCCTTCGGAATTCACAAGGATCCTGGATTGTAGGATTAGATCTAGGTAGGGAAAGATCTACCATTCGTGCAGGATGGATAAACTTTGTACGTGATAACATGATCAGAAAAGGAGATACTTGCATTTTTGAGCTTGTTGGTGAGCGAGAAATGCGAGTGCATGTTTTCCATGAAAGGAGGATACAGAGCATATCATCAAAGAGTCCTGTCAGTTCTGTTTGCCCATGTTGGTCAGAAGCTTGCGAAGCTGATCCGAGTATAGGTGAGCTTTTTGACCTCACAAATATGTGGCCAAATGCTTGTGTTGAAGCACATTTTTCTTTATTCGTACCGGGGAGTTGAAAGCAGTATGCAGTCCCAGGTCAGAGGTAACTTCATTCACTGGCATTACCAACTAAACCAGGTGACTACTTTTAGTTGCACTTAAATCTGGGGATAGTTTCACTTTAAACTACCTGACACTCTCAGCTTTTCTTTTGCTTGTGGGGTCCTGCATGTACCAAGCAAATGTGCAATATTACTTACTGCACATAGTGCAAATTTCAGAAGCTCTACACTCTTGCCCGTTTGGCTGTCTTTCCACACGGTCTTTCGACTGTTTATAAACTAGGAAGACTGATTTTCGGTCTATTTTCGTTTGGCACATGAAAGATCTAGTTGCCAAAAAACGGGATGCCGAAAAGATGTGAGAAGTCCATTTTGGAAAGTTCTAAATGAAACTTTTTGCGTCTTTCATGTTTTAATCTCACAAGGAAAGATGCAAAATGACGCACGGAAAGATGCATGTCTGCCAAACGTGCTTTGGGCTGATCAGGTCCTCGTACAAAAGCTCAATGTGTCCTTTATATATCAGACTATCAGAAGATCTTCCCAAAAAGACATGCCAAATGGGATCTGGTAAATAAAAATTAGGGCTGTCAATGAATTGGGTCTATCTGATATAATTAAATGACCTAACTGATTATGCTGGTATTGGTTTTATGTTTTTGACTTTTTGTCCCGATTAGTAAAGAGCCTGGATCTCCTGAAAACAAAAACTCTGTCATCCAGCAGCACATTTGAAACATCTCCCCATTAATATACATGTATGGGACATATTTCCAATATGCAGCTATACTTTGCTTTTAGTTTGTGTGCAAAGCTCAGGAGTTCCTGTCACATTAAGAATTGGGTATCGACTAGTTCTTATTTAGACCCAAATTGATTATATAGTTAATAATATGTAAAAGCCTTTAGGTTTTCATGTAATTTTTGTTATATTTTATATTCAAAAGGATAATTTTTGTAGATTGTTTATGAGACAATTTTGGTTAAAAATACTTGTTTTATCGACACAATAGTTTTTATTAAGTTATATTATTAAAAATAAAATTTTTAAGTTGTTATTATCATAAATAATTATAGATCTGAAGTATAATTGGGTTTAATTTGGTCAGACCTGATCGTCCTGATTTAAATAGGATAGTTCTGGGTCTGTCATATGGAACTGTTTAATAATTGGTTTCAGTATCACAGAATTTTATTTATATTATCTGTATATAAGTGTGCTTATGTGAATTTATACCTGACATAATTGTGTATCCTTCTCTCTGTAAAATAAAAAATTTGTAACTCCACCATGATGTTGTTTTATTGTCTAATGGATGAATGTATCGTGTCCCAGCATTTTCAGTTGTTCTCCATGCAATAAGAGCATTTGAATTATACAATCAAATGCTATCTTTACCATTCACTGGTTTGCTTTTTTCTAGTTATTTGTTTACATGACTTGGTCCATCATCTTCAATCCCCTAATTAAAACGAAACTCTGAAAACTGAACAGATCTTGTATCCCATGAAAAGGCTAAGATAGAGAATGCTCACTTGCCTATTGATGAGATGGATTCACATACAAGAGGTTGTTTGTCGAAAGGACAGATGAGAACTGAAGGAAGGGAAAGAGTGCGAAGAACAGCCCAATCCTTCACCTCTGATTTTCCTTATTTTAAGTGGTGTATGAGAGAGTATAATGTGGGAGGAAGGCGGCTTATTTTGGTGAGTTTTCTGTGCCAAATTTTGTTTTGTTTCTTAATTTAAATTAAATAACTCTTTTTTGTGTGCAATGGAGGATGTAATCAAATTTGTTTATTTCTGTTAACCAATTATATTTGATGGTTATGAGTGAACTAAATAAGGTGCATGTAAGGTCCTTGGTGTTGCGCTCAGAATATGGTGAGCAAAAGGCTGGAAAGGTGTTGCGCTCAGAATTTTCACTGAAAGTTGAACTCTCTGCAAGATAATGCATTCCCATGTAGGCATCCGGGTATCACATTGAAAATGCGAAGTGTGAGTCAGTTAAGACATATCATGTAGTGTTTCATTGGTAACCCAGAAATTGGAAGTGAAATTTTATGGTAAAAGAAAAGAAAAGTAACTAGAAAATGCTTACAACCATGAATTTACACTTATGGATTTGTGTTTTCCTGTATTTATGCTTATCAAGAGATTAAAACACATGCCTTTCATGTTAGTTACAGTTTGAAGTTAAACCTATTAAAATTTTGTGATGACTACATGATTCTTTGGTGCATAATTCATCTTTTCCTTCTGCATACTATTACGTATAGTCTTTCTTTAACTAAGTAGATAAATTGGTCCATGCAGCACATACCAAATTATTTCAGTAAGGAACATTTTCGTGGGTATGGAAAAAATATGAAAATTCTGCTTCACAACAGAGGTAGATCTTGGGAGATGAATTTACTTGTTTCTCGTCGGCAATATTCTATTTCTCGTGGTTGGGCTTCCTTTGTGCGTCATAACAACATACAAAAAGGTGATATCTGTGCATTTGAACTTGTTGGAAAAACTGATATGCGTGTTCGTATCTTCCGGGTGGACAAGAAAGTTAAATTTGTTGACAATGGAAGCAGTTGAGAGGAGAGACATATCCATAAGAAGCATTTGTGTGGTACAACCATCACATTGAATTGAAGATTCATACTGGAAATGCTCCTGTTCTTTTTGTCATGTTTTCAGATTTTGTACCAAGTATATGGCCAAATACTAATGTTCATGGCCTTCTGCATATGTATGCTTGTGAACTTTAAAACATTTTTCTTTAGTGTTTTTTCAGTTAATCTCCTATATGTAAACCATGGGCATGTTATGCCAGTGATAGATGAAACCATGAAATATTACAAAACCATGGGCATGTTATCTCCTATATGTAAACCATGGGCAGTTATTGCAATTTATACATGGTGTGTGTGTGTGTGGTTAAGAGAATTATACTGCAATTTATACATGGCAGTTATTGCAATTCTGTACGAGGTCTAAACATTGGAAATGTAATTTTAAGAGACATCAAGATATGCTATGGATATGCACATATATGCTAAGAAAACTCAAATAAAGAAACACGTCAATAAAATTAAATCTAAAAGTCTTTATAAACAAGGTATATATACATAAAATGCACATAAGAAACATGTATTTTAATAGTTTGTGAAGTTGAATTATCAGGATTTGCTAAGGAAACGTTGGAAAATAGTAAAAGAACTAAAATATTACTTCAATCAAGAAAAATTTACTAATTTAAATGGTCATTTAATTTTATGTCTTTTTGGGTATGCAAAACAGCTTGTAGCAGTTAGTTCTTTCTCTCTAGATAAGTACCTTATCTCTTCTGTCTGCTTATATCTATAAAACTTTTGGTTGTGTTTGGTTGCAATGCAAATATGTACATTGCATATTTACCCTCTTTTCAGTTTATGAATGCAAACATGATTTATATTTTAAACAGTTTTTCACTCATCTTGTTTCTTTGAAATCAGTGTTAAGTGTGGGCCCCATCATTAAATGCTTCAATTACCTTATGCTCGAGGCAATGCCTTAACTTGGTTAAAAAGTTGATTATCAAAAGAATACAAAATTGTCTCTAAAAAATAGGTGCAGTAATGCTCTTTTTTCAGAGTACAAAAATGTTAGAAAATACATTTTTTATGTTATAATCATTACTTTTTTAGATGTCAAACAAACACTCTCAAATGCCAAAGTACATAAAGACCACAGTTTAGTGTTAGTATTGCAAACAAACGAAGCCTTTATTTCAAACCTCATGTTGACCCTTCCTGCTCATCAATCTGTGTTGATACAGTATATTTCATTACTGCAACCAACCCTTTGCCAAGTGAGATTGCATCATTTATGCCCGACATGGAAGCAGTTGACCTGCCATCTCTAAAGTGCATGGGACCACCAAGTGTCCAAGTGATACTGGTCCTTTGAAGATGAAACTCGGTGACCAAAGTCATGGTAACATTTTCACCCAAATAAAAGTCTAAGTAACATTGCTCCTATTTTTATGGAAAAGTTCGTTTAGAGTTAATTAAACTCAGTGTCCTGCCTGAACCAAAAAGAATAGATTAGAATCCTATCAGCTGCAATTTTGTATGGTGGTATGGGCTCAACCATCTCTGCCCATAATTGGCATGTATGTTGACACAATCAAAGCAAGGAACTAACCCTTTTCCTTTTTGATGTATCAATTCAATGTTCACAGCAGTTGTAAAAACTTCATCCGTATGGTGGTGAGCATTCTCTCAAAGATGACATTATGGGTGTCTTTTATGGATTTGATGATTCGTTAGGAGCATGCTCACCTTTTGGGCTGTGAAGAGGCAAGTTCCCATTCTCGCGGTTGATGTCCCTTTCATCAATTTGAACAAACTGAAACAAATTATCAAAAAAAAAAAAAATGAACCAACCAACTATAAGGTGCATGGAACAGATTCAATATACATTTGAATCATATGGTAACTTGAATGTATAAAATCAAGAGGCAAGTCCGTATACTCAGTTTCTCACAATCCCTTCCATCAATTTGAACAAATTGAAACAACCAACTATAAGGTACATAGAACAGATTATGTATAAATACAATTCATAAAGTAATTTGAATATGTAAATTCCCAATAGATAAAAATATCGGCTGAAAAAAACAAGGGAATCATTTCTCAAATACCTTTTCTGAAAAATACAAGCAAAAAATCCATTTTACTTGTTATGGCTTGATGCAATGGTAAAATCTTGGGATGAAAAGTGTTAGAAAACAGGTAGAGTCAGAGCAGCCACTTTCTGCTAGAAAATTCTGAAGGTTATGTCTTTCCAGTTGACCCCTCTCAAGACCCTGGACCAAGGTTCAAAATATCTAATCGACTGTTTTTTTTATTACTTTTTTATATATTTTTCTGGAACCGGTTCGGGGGGGGAGATTTAGGGCTGCTCCACCCCCTAAACCGGTCAGACCCCCGATACACCCACTATAGGGGTGTATCGGAGGGGTCCCGAAGTGATACGTATCGGTCATACGTGTTGATACTTTAAACCTTGCCCTCGACTATTGGGATTAATATTTGGAATGATTTAGTTGGCAGGGTAGATGTTCTACTGGGATTAATATTGGGATGTGGGAAGTGTGGATCTATTTTCCACCAGAGCTGGATGAAGATTTGTGGTTTGCATCTTCAGGGCTTACACGTGACACCCATGCAGGGGAGGTTGTTGTGGTTATATGAAGGTGAACTGCTGCACCAAGATAGCTTTAGTTGAAGCTCTACTTTAAATTGTATGCAATGTTTATACTATGGAAGTCATACTACCTGAGTCCCGTTGTAGGGTTCTATCAAATACTCAATAATTCCAACTGTTATTCCTCAGAATTAGTAATGCTGAAATCACAATGTTGAGACATTCCAATTTGCTCAATCAATCAATAATATCTATTTGCACTGTTGTTGATAGCTTTTCATTTTTCTAATGAATGATGAAAGAACAAGACTAATGTACACTAAGAAAATTTCCTAGTAAAGAAGTAATAAATGTAGATAAATTTAAAAGTCACCAGTAGTCTTTGCAAGAACAAGCTCCATCTTGGAAAAAGTGGAAGCGATTGACATCTTTTATGACAACTGGTCTTTCAAAGACCTTGGAGATAAATTTGGTAGCTGTGTGGCAATCATTGCAGGTACGTAGGTTCTTTGTTATCCGGATGGTTGTTCCAGGTTTAGTTCTCATTAATCCAAAAGCAATAGCCAGCTTTTCACTGTGGTGATACAGGATGTTTATCTTTGTTTCATATGGTACATCTTGGAATACAAGCTTAATGTCGGGCACGTAACCTACTTCTTTAATCTTGTTAATCATGATCTTCAATATCCTATGAATCTCAGGGTATTGGGGGTGATCTATATCCCCAGCCATGAATGTAAAAATCTCCATATCTATCTCGATAGAACTGAACCCTGGGGTCTTCTTCAATCCCTTTGATCTCAATGATACTCTTGTCATCTTAACACCTTCCCAGTTTCCTACAGTTGCATACATATTTGAAAGTAAGACATAGTACCCAGCGTCGTTTGGATCTAATTCAAAAAGCTTTTTTGAAATCTGTAATCCCAAGTCGATATTTCCATGGACTCTGCAGGCACCTAGCAAGGCCCCATAAACTCCAGCATCAGGCTGCAAAGGCATGGTATTGATCAGCAAATGGGCATCATCTAGTCGCCCGGCACGACCAAGAAGATCAACAATGCAAGTATAGTGTTGTAGATTTGGTAATATATGCCAATATCTAACCATGCAATGGAAAATGTGAAGCCCTTGATCAACCATTCCAGCATGACTACATGCACACAAGACACACAACAGAGTTGATTCATCTGGCTCTAAGCCTTTCCCCTGCATTTTCCAAAGAAGATCAATTGCATCATCTCCGCACCCATTCATCCCATTACCAGCAATCATGGCATTCCAGCATGCAATGTCCTTTTCCTTCATTCCCTCAAAGAATTTTCTTGCACTCTCCAAATTCCCGCAATTAGCATACATGCCTATAAGTGCAGATCCTACAAAAATATCATCTTCAAAACCTGTTTTTATCATCAATGCATGAACACGTCTGCCCTGTTGTAGAGCTCCTGATCGACTGCAACTTGAAAGGATGCCAATCAAACAGATAGAATCCAGTGCTACCTCATCCACCCCAATCATTTCGTTAAAGATCTGCATAGCTTTGTTCATATACCCAACATGTGAAAAGCTAGAGAGCATCAATGTCCATGTAACCACATCCTTCACAGGCATCTCGTCGAATAAGCTATATGCATGTTCGACGCACCTGCATTTTGCATACATATCAATCAGAGCAGTCTTAATAATCTGATCATTCTCGAACCCAGTTTTAATCGTACAACCATGAATTACACTCCCCAACTGTAAAGAACCTATGGCAGAACACCCTGATATCAAACTGACTATAGTAAAAAAGTCTGGAGAAAATCCATTTCTCTGCATCAAATTAAAAAGTTGAAGAACTTCGTCACCAAAGCCTTTATTGGAATAGCCTGAAATAAGAGCATTCCATGTAACAATATTTTTATCGGGCATTTTGTCAAATAGTCTCCAAGCAACATCCATGCAGCCAACTTTCGAATACAAAAGGACCAAGGATGTCTCTACGAAGACGTTAACTCCCAAACCATATCGGATCAAGAAGCAGTGTAACGATCTTCCGACCCGAATCAAGCCCAAGTTAGCAAGAGCAGATAGAATGCTCGTAATAGTAACCACATTGGGCAGGAAGCCACTCATTATCATGTCACAGAACACCTCGTAAGCCTCGAAATAACGCTCATTCTTTGTGAACCCAGATATCAAAATTGTCCAAGAAACCAGGTTTTTATTTTGAATTCGTCCAAAAATCTGCTTTGCCACATTCAGGAGTCCGCAAGAAGCGTAAGAGTTCATCAACCTGTTGGAGAGGAAGATGTTTTGAGCAAGGCCCGATGTAATTATCTGGGCGTGAATCTGTTGAATGGGCTTAAGTTCTTTGAGTCCTTGAAGGACTGAAGCGTAGGATGGAGCGCGGGGGGCTATCAATTTGGTTACGTTGGATACAGGATTTCTGTGTTCTGTTGAAGAGAAACGAGACTCAAGACAAACGGGAGACTTGAAACGGAGAGAAGTCTGTTTTGGGTGGGAACGAAGAAGATTAAAAACAGTTGAGCTGTCAACCATAACTTTTCCGTTAATCTTTTTCTCTTCTACTCTTTGTTGAACTGCAGCTTTATGAATTATGATGATGGTCTCATTTATGAACAAGAGCAGACAATCTTTAATTCTTTACCGAGACGGAAGAAATGGGCGGCGAGGATTAATGTTGTAATTTTGCATCCAGTTGCAGGAAGGCACGCTCGACAGGCGCTCCTGGAGTTGAAGAGTCGACAATACTACAGCATTGATACGTAGCAACCCACGATGGGCTTGTAAGAATACGTGCTGTCTGTGACAGCGGCTTATAACGAATAAAAACGCCCCACGACGATAGCCATGCTCGCGGAGTTACAGCTACCGATATATTATATATACTAGAGCGGGGAGCCGTGCGATGTACGGAAAATTTGAAAGATTTAATAATTTTATTTATTATTAATTAATATATAAAATTTATTGTTAATTAACTAAAAGTGTTAAAATTATTGTTAGTGTTTAAAATTTTAATAACCGTATTTTCATTTAATGTTGATTTACAGAAAAAAATTATTGTTAATTTAATATGAATAAATAATTTTATTAAATTTAGTTTTATTAATAATTTATAATAATTTTAATAATTATTATTATTTTAATTATTTTTAAATGAAATTTTGATTAACATGAAATTGATAAAAATAATTGTAAAAGTTAATATTTTTATTATTTTCACTAATAATTAATAATTATATAGGAATGACAACGGGGTGGGTTCAAGGAGGGGCACCCCATCCCTATCCTTGCCCCATAGTCAAGTCAAGACACTCTACCCCATCCCCACTGTCAGGTAGGTTCAAGGCAAGGCAACCACTCTTCAATGTTGGGCCAGTTCGGGGACAAGTCACTCCACTCCTCATCAAGGATGGGGAATCCTACAATTTCCCTACACCATCCTTAGTATTGGGCGAGTTCAAGTAGAGGTGTAAATCGGGTCGTGTTAGGCCGAGCCTTGGGTCAGGCCAAGCCAAGCTATGAGTGGTCCATTTTTTAAAAATTTGAGAAAAAGATGTTTAAATTTTTATTTCATATGATTTTTGATGTATACAATTGCTTATATATACAATTAGACCTATTCATGGGCCAAGTAGCCCGATGACCTGGTCTGATGCTATTACATATATAAAAAAAATACCTATGTTATATATAATAAATATTATATATATATGCTTCTTAAATTATTAATAAATATTAATTTACTATTACAATATATAAATTAAATTACTAAATTAATATAGTATTAGTTTATAAAAGTATACAGAAAATAAAACATTTTGTGTACAAATCGGGCTTCGGTGTTGGACTCAGGCTCGAGCTTCGGGCTTTATATATGGGTTGGGCTTGGGTTCAAGATCCAGCCAAAGAGGCAGCATCAACAACCACACCATTTCGGTTTACAATTTCTCCCTAAGCCGATTATGCACATAGGATATGCTATCGTAAAAAATAACAACATTGCTCATACCACTGTCATTTCCCTCTACCTTGGGCTTTGGTTTCCTACCTCTCTTCGTCCTTCTTTCCCGTCGATAGAAGCAAACATTTCGTTGATAAAGAGGCATGTGCTAATTATAAAACTATGACTTTTTATAAATTAATATTTTTATTTAATTCTAGTTAAGTATAAAGAAATACATAACATTTATATATATTAATATAAAATTTATTATCTAAATATTACATAATAATATTTACCATATATGCATATAACTTTCAAGTTGAGTTTAATAGGGGTTGTTTAGCTTGGGCTCTATTTACTAAAGCCATCATTGGACTCTAAAAGTTTGATACACAATAAGACTTCAAATCTAATTATCCTTGATAATGTGTGGGCATGGTGCATATCTAAATTGTACCTAACTCAAAAGAAAATAGTTGCTTGAGTTTGCAAATTTATACTTTAATCGGGTTAGGTTAAGTTATAAACGATTTGTTACTTTTTATTATTAATTATTAAAATAATTAATTATTAAATTACTGTATTTATTTAAAATACATTAATTTTTGGAAATTATCATATTTTAAAAAATATTGATGATTTCTTGGCAAAAACTAATTAAATGTAATTTTCTGGTAATTAAATCTAACTTTTTGGTAATTAAATGTAATTTTGTACTATTTATAGCTTAAATTGTAATTATCGTTAATTACGGTTTAAAAATAATTATTGTTAATTATATTACTATTAATAATTAAAATACATTATTTTTCATTATTATTCAGTATTTTTTGCAATAAAATACACTTAATTTATTTTTTTAATTAAGCTTTACGTTTTTAAGAATTTTTGGATTTTTAATTATTTTTTGGTGTTTTTTATTATTATTCAGTAATTTTTGCATATGAGTATTTTTCAATGATTTTCAGTATTTATTTTTGCATATTAGTCACTACAAAATTAATTTGTATTTGCTTTGAGCAAAAATAAATTAAATAACTAAATAAATAACATAGTTAATAAAAATACAACTAATTATAAAAAAATTTCAATAATTTCGGGCTTGGGTATTTTTAATAATAAAATACTATTAATTGTACTTTTTAATTATTTTTAGTAAATACCCTTACTAATATAAAATATTGTTAATTTTCAATATTTTTTAATTATTTTTAGTATTTTAATTATCTTTAGGTTTTTCAGAATTTTCTAGATTTTTAATTAATTGTCGGTATTTTTTCATTATTATCCAGTATTTTTTTCTATAAAATAATTTTAATAAAACAGGCTTTGCATTTTAAATTTTCATTAATTTTTATCATTTTTAATGAGTTCATTATACGCAATAAAGATCTCAACTCATAAAAATTATTAATTAATTAAAATGCATTAATACAAATTTATCTAATAATATTATTAAAATTATAAATTATAAATTAATATTTTATATTTAAATTTATTTTTTAATTAATTGTTGGTATTTTTTCATTATTATTAAATAATTTTTGCAATAAATACTGTTAATAAAATGGTTCTGCATTATATTATTAAAACTATCAATTAATACTTTTATTTTTAAATTTCTTATTTTTATTAGTATTTATTACATTTGATTTTTAAGTGGAATTGAAACTCATTTTTAGTATTAACTAAGTTTTGTTAATATTTTTTTTTAGTGAAAGTTTATTAGATTTTTAAATTAATAATTTTTTGATTATTTTAACTCAACTTATTTATATTATTACTATTATCTCTCTCATTTAAATGTAATATTAACATGCATTAAAATAAGAGCCTTTGAAAAACTCAAAGGTCTATCTCCTTCTTAAATGTCTTTTTTTGTTAAATATAATAATCATTAAAATAATAAGGCCTTGAAAACCCAAAGATCTCTTTATTAATAGTGCCTAATAAAAATCAATGATTATTGTTTTATATTTTAAAAATAAAAAATGAAAAAATATAAAAAATGAAAAAAATAGATAAATAACCGAGAGACGTGCTAAATAAACCGTCCAATTTTATTATAAATCTTACTGAACCCAACTATTTTCTTCTTCAGTACTTCCTGGGAACAGTGTGATTTCCAGTCATGCCTTCTGATAATCTACGGAAGCTGAAAATGCTAAAAGAGACTCCTCCCCATAAACGTTACTTCTTCAAGGTCTTGTTGGCGGGTTTCTCGACAAAACTCGTAAGTGATCTTCGCCCCAACGCCCCCCCCCCCTCTCTAGTCTCCATCTCTATCGATCGGTCCCACCTCACACACATCCAGTTTCCAGAAAGCATCATATAGCCACACTAAACTGCGTTTGCGTATGCAGGTGATACCGCTGGCTTTCAGTAGACAACTGAGCGGAGAGAGCTGGATAGAGAAGGCGAGACTAAATAGTTGCAGGGGTTCATGGGATGTGAAGGTCAGTTGGAGAAGTGGCGAGCGCATGTATTTTGGGGACGACTGTTGGCGGGATTTTGTGAAAGAACACCATCTTAATGTTGGAGACTTTTTAGTGTTTCAACACCATGGACGTTTAATTTTTGATGTCATGGTGTTTGATCGAAGCTGCTGCGAGAAGGATTATCCTCCTGATTTTGTTGTCGAAGACTGCAACGACAACAACAATAACGACAAAACGATGAAAGAGCAAGAAGAAACCAATCACGCTAATCACTCCAAATTTAATCGTCGAGTGAGATTTTTTTCCCTAGATTTCTTTTTCTTGAGATCACATTGGCGCCCCACAGCACATCCAAATCGTACATTGAAAACATCTCACAATGACAAATGCGAGAGATGTTTCCGATGCACGCTCAGATGCGCGCGCCTGTAGGGGCGCAGATGGAAACTGGAAAGTGGAATTTTCCATGGTTTTCAGTCGGGTTTTCTGTACATTGCTTAAATGAAGTATTATTATATTATCTATAGGTAGAAGGCCAATTAAAGAAGAAAACGTTGCAAGCAAGCCACGCCCCTATTTCGAGACAACGATCCAAGCATCTAATATTTGCGACGGATATGAATACCTGGTGATTTTTCATCTTTGTGTTTGTGATTTTCCCTTTACTAATTTATTTATTATTTTTTCGCTCTAATTTATTACTTTTTTATCCTAACATTAACATGAAATAAATATTAGGGTAAACACATTCAACCTGCTAATCATAGAAGACGCCTTACTCATACCTCAGATTCAGATTCATATTCCACCCTATAAATACAAATACGGAAAAGTATAGACAGGCCCAATACAGATTTCTGATTTTTAGAACTATAAACATTTAAAATATTTAAAACCCCCATTGCATACATTAATGTCCGTCTGTGAATTAACATCAATTCCAATCTGGCACTCACATCAACTGTACTTTAGGTTTAAAAATTCCGACTCTAAGCTAACTGAACCATCATTCTGTTTTGGATGTGTGGCCAGAACATGCTCTGAGGTCAATGTGAAACGCAATCTGTGAGCAGCAAATCTAGAGTCAACTCTAATGCTATTCTGATCAGTCAATAGAAACAAATATTTAGAAGACTAGAACCATTGTGATA